GAGCTTGCCACATCAGTCAAAGTGGTGAAGGGAAAAATGCAAAAGTCATCTGTGGTGAGGGAAATACTTAATCATGGAGTGTCGTCTGAATTGGGTACTAGATTTGGTGGAAAGATACTTTTTCTGATCCATTGTAGCTGTCCGTTGCAACACTGGTGAAGAGAGTGTTGGATCGAAAACAAATCCATTAGAACAGGGATTTTGTATACACTCACCGTATGGAGGTCTTTGTGTAAATGAGACAGGTGTTGAAGGTGTACGTCGTTGTGAGCGCTTCCTCTAACCTTTAGACCTTGAGACCACCTTGGAGACAAGGAAAGGCATAATAACCGAGCAGGAGATGCACATTCATTAAACAGAAGGGTTGTGGACAGGGTTGGGCAACTCGTAGGCCAGACCTCTTAGTCAAGGCAATATAGCCACTCAAGTGTCCGCAGCCTTCATCGAGAACTTTGGAAAAAAAAGACTCCTTTGGACCACATAGAAGTTGGACTGTAATAGGAGATATGAATGAGAAGATGTGAAACAGAGCATCACCTCAGGTGTACGAGAGTTTAATTTACTTACGAATGCCTGCATGCCTGAAGTGTTTTCATTCCAGAACCTCCTACCATAACCATTGAAGGCTATGAAGGAGAGATCAAAGCAATTTGTTGTGAGATCCAATCGACCTTTAGCTACCGACATTTTATTTACTTCCCTTTGATCAATCCCACTGACAGCACGTAGCTTCGAGTTAATTGCGTATCTTATGGAATGGCATCAGCTTAGAGGCGGATTATTTTCGTTTAGGCCCTCTTAAAGAAGGTGAGAGAAGACCACGCCAGTCGACAGCGCAGTAACCTTGAGGGTGGACGTCGGATGGTCATTGATGAGGTGGATGAAGATGATTTTGAGGCTACCGACAGTGAAAATGATTATGAAGGAGGGGGAGGAGAAGGGGAGAAGAAGGACAGTGATGATGACAATGTCCAAAGACCGCCAATTACGCTGAAGCAAGGCGTTGAAATTGAGGAGGTTTTTGACGAGAGTGAACAGGCGGCAAGTAAAAACGAGGTAAGTGAAAATGCTGAGCCCTTAGTGGATGCAAAAAAGCCGACGCATTGTCAGTAGTGTGTGCATGGAGGGTTTTCTGGTGCAAGATGGCAGGATTTTTGATTTTGAATCCACTAAATAGGAATCGTGCTGGTTGCTTCCTTTGCATCAGTATCGGGTCATACACTTTGAGAGATTTCTTTCTGCTGTAGTTAAAGTACAATGGTTTTGTAATAAATCGGTTAATACGTATTGATGCGCCTTGTTGAGTCATTAGTATAGTAAATTTTGGGACAAAAGACGGTGCCACTGTAGTAACGTAGA